AAAAAAAAAAAAAAAAAAAAAAATTTTGCATCAAGCAAACTATAGTAAAATTAAACAAAAGAAAAAACACCTATAATTTTTGTGTTACTGTTACCTTTAATTTGTCTTTTTACTTTTTTTTTTATTTTGAAAAATTACCCATCTACATATAAACAGCAAAATGTAATGCTTTAATAAGTGTAAAAAACCAGCTAAAAGTGCGTTTTTTTCTTTGTTTACCTGTTTATTTAGACCGTAATTTCTTAAAAACTCAAAAGTTAGCAGCCATCATAAACTGATAAAGTAATAACTTTTTAAAGCAAGTTTTTGAAGTTTTTTGGCTTGTAACTTGTTAAATTTTTGTTTTTGTTTCTTTCTGTAATTATCACATATAAAGCGTAAATCTTTTGATCAATGTTTGCTAAGTTTTCTTACATAAACCCAACAATACGATAGCATCAAATATGGCACAAAAATCAACCAGACACTGTTCCGTAACTGTTAACTTGTTGCCGTATTTGAAATTTTAGCAAATAGATAAAGTAATAACTTTTTAAAGCAATTATACGGTGTTTGAATATTGCTACAAAACTTTTCATTACTATCAAAAACTTTGTCTTACTATTATCACACTTAAAAAATGTTTTATTTTTGGTCGAATAAATTTTACAAATTAAATCGATTTATTACAGCGTTAAATAAGTGTCTTTAGGAACAACAAAAATAAGAAGTAGTTTTTTTTTTGGCTTGTAACTTTTATAACCGATGTACATAAAACAAAATATGCGTCTCAGATATCAGTTGTACAAATAAGAAAATACTCGAAAATATAGAATTAAACCTTTCCTCCCCCCCCCTCCCGAAAAAAAAGAATCTGAAAACCTTGGGTTTAAGTAAAGAAAATGTCATTTTTATTTAACTTTATAAGTGTCGATCAAGCATTATTTGCAGAACTTTGAGTGCGATTACTTTTGACATCTTTTTTAATGTTAATTTTAAGCACTAATATCACTAACAAAAATTGGAAAAAGTTTAAGTGCTGTTGGTCACGAAAAGTTTATATGAAACCTTCTCAATTTTTTTTTTCCTATAAATCTAGAAAAAAAATTATTATCAAAGCATCGGTCGATTACAAACCCAAAAACTTTTGAGTTATTTATTCTTTGATCAATGTTCAGCGAAATATCAGAAACAGCTAAGCGTTTATTAAATGATAATTAAAACTTTGATATGCATTTTTCTTATGTCAAACTGATTTTATAAACAGTTATAAAAAATTATTATGTGTGCAAAAAAAAAAAAAAAGTTCAGCAAGAAATTTTTTTACTCAAATAATTTTCTCTTTTTTCTTTTCTATATTACCGCTTCAGTTCTGTGCATAAAATCTTTTGGTGTTTTTTGTTTTTCTCAACAAAACGTTAATTTAGATTTTTTTGTTTTATTCTTCTAAAATTTTGAGAATTTAATCATTTCACAA